TAATATCCAAGAAGACAAGGCTCTTAAAATTCGGAATTCGGTAATCTCTCTCGCGAGAACGAGAAACCTATTTGAGCAACAGCCAAAATCCGCCCAGAATCCAAAACAAATTCAGCAATAAGTTAAATGACTCATACGACTGAACCTTGACTGCAGAGCACAGTAGACCTGCGGAAATGTGAATTTTCGCAATTTCGCGTTCTCTCATTCACGCCTCGATTAGCAAGGAGTGTACATCTCGCCTAGCAGCGCGGATCGAAGCACGATGAAGATGCGCACGAAAAACATATACAGCGTTAAGGAGAAAGATAGGTGGGGCGGTGGCATAGCGGCAGGCAGAAGAAGGAAAAAAGAAACGGAGTAGTCCAGGAAGCTCTTACCTCCTCGGCGTGCAACGATCTCTTTACGGGCGAGCAATTTTTACGACGAAACCACCCGGCCGGGCCGAAGCAACACGCGAGGTGACGAGGTGGTTTCGACATGTAACGCGACGATATTCGTATTCTTTCTCCAGAAAGTGACTCGTTAAGGCTTTAAGAGCCATCAACACGCAAGCAAGGTCATTTTCAGCCGGTGATCGCCTTTGGGCGAAACGTCAACCGCGGCGACCATTTGTCTGACTTTCGAAAATTGTGTGTTTCAACTGAATGTCATATTAAGGTAAATGTCCCAGTAATCGGATGTTTAAGCTTAGGTCGTCACAAAAAATACAATATATAATATTAAGATTAGTTTGGATATAAATATTTGCATTTATTCGAAAACGATTCCTTTAAGTAGAGAAAAATGGTTTAAACCAATATATACATCTATTATTAATGAAATATTTACACAAGTAATGAAACGCATTAATGTACCAGTGACCAGACAGTTGAAATAGGTTATGGCCCAATGTTCGGACATATTTGTCCCAGTGTCTGACCGCAATTAGAAAATTAGTATGTGGTAACGGGAAATAATAAATATAGATGCTATCTCTTAATGAATTTATCAACGATTGACCATTATTTTGCTAAACCATAGGTGCATACTTATTTAATTAATTTCTATTTTAACATAAAAGTATCAAATTGGGTATGTTTTTTTCCAACTAATCGTCAAATATTGGAATTTTTTTACAATAATTATTACTTTCATTCATTATTGTTAAAACAAATAGTAAATATCTTTTTTCAAAGCGGTCGGATATTGGGACGTGTCCGGCCATTGGGACGTTTACCTTATTTGACCTTTCGTCACTTATAGGATTTTATAGTCGCATACATAGCTTACCACAATATTCATAAAAGAGTTTAGAAAAGGTTGTCAAAGCCTTTTTTCATCGCGGATTTTCCATCTTCCGAGAAAGTCTGTCTTCTTAAACATTTTTTGTGTATGACAGAAGCCTTTGAGTTGTTTGGACAATTTTATCAAGTAGTATGTCGAAGGGAAGAGAGAGAGAGAGAGAGAGAGAGAGAGAGAGAGAGAGAGAGAGAGAGAGAGAGAGAGAGGGAGAGAGAGAGAGAGAGAGGGGGGAGAGAGAGAGAGAGAGAGAGAGATAGAGAGAGAGAGACGTTCGCCGTCGACAGGAAGACGATCCATCAGACAGATATTCGATAAGCCAGACTCAAATCAGTCTGGAACTTTGGGCATTACTCCGCGGCCGAGTTCAGTGCACAGCATCTTCGGACTAATAACAGTCGAACGCCGCGAGCGTGCGAGCGCGCATGGGTACGAGGCGGCGAGATAAGGCCTTTGGGCTAAAACCGTGTCGTGACGGGATGTCTGTGCTATTCCATCCTCGGTGTCGGCTTCATATGACAGCGCACGGCTTCGCGCCGTCATGTGCGCACGCTCACGCACGCACGCATGCACGCTCGCACTCGTCAGCGCGAGCGCTCGACGTGACTCGCGTGCACGAAAGAGTGTACGACGTGTGAACAGGACGCGTGTGTGTACATCTCCTGGGACGTCGTGTCCTCCGAACGGAAACGACAGATTTTATAGAAATATATCAAGCACTGAAAATAGGACGCTCGCGTACATGCGAATCCGCGACGCAAGCGCGATGCGCTCTCGGCCTCAAGCGCAGCAAGTCGAGCGAATAAATTATGTGAAAGATAAATAATTTGTCACAGCTATTAATTGCGACCGGAGATAGAATGAAGGACCCGTAAAATAAGCGCGCAACTCAACGAGTACATCAGTTGTGTCCTCTGGATAGATTCTATGGTGTATTTATTTATACTATTATGTTGTTAAGATCACATCATTTGTTTAACGAAACGAATCACCGAATGTGACGAGTGCCAACTAATTTAGTTTCTCAAGCCGCGTGCATGCGATTCTCGTCCTTCTTGCTCGTCTTCGGACGCTACGAGTACATACATGCACGATAAAACCAGCTGCTTATCCCAGGATCTCGGGTTCACCCTCTAAGATCGGCTAATGCGATTTTGGAGAGGCACACAGCGCGAGAAAGGGGAGAGGGAGAGAGAGAGAGAGAGAGAGAGAGAGAGAGAGAGAGAGAGAGAGAGAGAGAGAGAGAGATGAAGAGAAGCAGTTCCCGAAATTGCGACGGAACCAGCGGGCGAGTTATGTTCGCTCGCGACGATTTCGAGACGATAACGCATTAAAGAGACACCGGTGAAGCCACATAATTGATGAGCTCGTGGCTTGACGACGCCGCAACGGCGGACACCAAAATTAAATCTATATAATGTAGAGAAGAATCTAACACGTTCTACCTCCGGTTGTCATAAGTTATAAATAGCGAAGAATCTTCATACGATATATCTGTAATACAAAGATCGCTGTACTTATGCCAATGTACGTGGCATAAGGCTCATCGGCACGCTGGCTTTTGCGAAAAAGTCTTAAAAAGAGAATGGACAGATCATCGTGTGTGTCTTTGATTTGTGAATTATGTCTTTCGTTATAATGCGCTTCAAAATGTGTTATTGAGTACAAATTTGGACCAAGTTAATTGCTGAAATTCATTTCACCGTGTCCCTTAGCCTGTATCTTCATTTTGACTTAACGTAGTCTCAACGTAGCCACGTAGAGAAATATGCTTAAGGAATTGTGACAAAAATTCGTTTACAAATTTAAAATGCAAAATTATAGAGTAATTATTCCGACTAAATGTTTTCCGTTTAACCACTTTTTCTCGCAATGATCACACGAATTTACGATTCAAATCAAAACTGCATGAACTTATATCTTCATCCTGACTTAACGTAGCCTCGTCGAGAAATGTGGTTAAGGCACTGTGATAAAAATTCGTTTACAAATTCAAAATGCGAAATTACAGAGTAATTATTCCGACTAAACATTTTCCGTTGAACCACTTTTACCGGCAATTATCGCAATTATCTGCAATTCAAATAAAAACTTGAGTTAGCCGAGAGGAATCAATAGCCAAGCGGTTGGGGAAACAATCTGAAATCTCGACGAGTTGCCAATAATTGATATCTCTGCGAAGAAGTCACTCGAAAACAATGATTGAATGCATCTGGAATGATGTCAGCGCGATGCATGTGTCCGCGCCACTCGCAAAATGCAGATAGACGGTGATTTACTTATCAACAATCGACGCTCCGCCGGAGGTAAATGGTCGAGTCGTGACCATTAGTCCGTGGATCATGTACGTATAGGCCGGTCCGTACCTACAAAGCAGCAAGGTACGCGAATCGACACCGTGTGAGGCCCGGCGAGGCCCAACACGACGTCAGGTCCTTCGCTACAAGTCTGCACAGCGATGTCTCGAGCGGCAGTCAATATATTATAGGCAAAGTGCACAAACTACTCACTCGATTTTTGTTCTCCTCGTATTCAATTATCTATCACCTCCCGAAAATTAACAGCAGACAACTGCAGTGAATGTTGAATTGAACATAATTAAGATTTAACTATTTTGTCCTTTTTGTTCAAAATAGAGCGAGAACATGATATATTTTATAAATATACTTGAAAGATCTAAACCGTACATTCTCGGAACGAGACAGTTTCAAGAAAGAACTCACTGAAAGACTACGCCAGCCTACATAACCGCGGCTCTATCAGTGCAATTTGTAGCTATTTGCGGCCACTTGCAACGACCAAAATCGCGAGCGTGCGCGCATGGAGAAACCTGAGAGTTACGCAAGAGACGACGCATTTTCAGCACGGCTCTTCAAATCGGCCCTGGAATCGCAGAAATTACTTCGCGCTTGACTTGCTCGCGTGATCGGTGAGACTATTCTCGGTGTCTCGTAACGAAGCGCGGCCTCGCGTCGTATTGAACTAGAACGAAATGCAACGAAACTGCTGAATATAGCCGCGAACATCGATAAGATCGCTCGCAGGAAGAACCAAGAACTTTCATAAAGTGTTAATGCTACCTCACGGATGTACTAAACGATCTTCGAAAATAAGAAGATTGTACTTAAAGCTCGAAGTCCGACTACGTACAACTTAGATAGTGCAACTTCGTAACACCATTCGATATCTCAGGTACTAATCAGTTTATACACCATGCACACTTCTAATTTCACTAAATGTCAGTTATGCGTCGATTTTGCTTATGATTCAACTTTACTTGTGTTATTTCTTCGTCTCCTTTTACGTAATAAGTTAGAATGTGATTTAGACAGCTAATCAGTAACATAAACTTGCTTAATCGGAGTTGTTCAAGCGATTCTAAGATATATCATCACTCTAATGTTGTTAGTGTAAAGCAGACGGTTTCTATACTCAAGTATTTAATCAGTATTACTCAAAATAACCTAGGTACTCGAAATCAACAATCGTAGATGATATCCACTTGCCATCGGCATTAATTTTCGTAGCAACTGTTTTCACATCAGCCAATTTTGCTTTTTGTTTTTACACCCTAATCACTCAAGGTACCTGTGTAATTTGCAAAGGAAACGAGGATAGCCGCGTATAAGCAACCTGGTTGTCCAGGAAATACCCGAAAAACTCCAATATCCTCAGGCAGTACCTGAGTACCCAGATATTGAGATCACTAATTCACTCACCGATAGTAGTCCTTCTTGCAGTAGATGTTCCCGTCTCTGCTAAAGCAGGTGCTTTCACCGTCGAGACCCTGACGACAATGTGAGCACTGGAGACATGCGGCATGCCACCTCCTGTCGACCGCCTGCAGATAGAATCTGTCGGATATCCTAAGGCCGCATCCCGCGCAAACCACTCCAGGAATGTCCTCGGATTGTGCGGGTGGCGTAGGTGGTGGTTCCAATTTCGGGACTGCGTGTAAGTGTTCTGTCGTGGTTTGTTGCTCCTGCGAGTGCGTCTGCGAGTGCAAATGCGGATGATGATGATGATGATGATGATGATGATGCAGATGGTGATGATGCGTCTGCGACGGCATGCTTAAGTCACTAGCATTTTCGAAGTTTCCACCGCCTCCTCTGTACTCTTGCGCACCTACTGTGGGATATTTCCTCTACATAACTCGTTGCCCACTCACATCGCTATTTATCTATAATTATTACCGTTAGTCGCTTATCAACGCCTCGAAAAGTTCAACAATTTGAACGCAACTCAAAATGCGGAAAGATTCAAAAGGTCTTCAAGTAAAGTAAAATATTCTCAAGCATTCTCTCCTTTACTCATAGTCTCTTCGAGCTACTCCTAATGGGCTCAAATATCCTTCAACCCCTTCCGACAGGTAAAAGAACGGTACCTCCGGGAGAATCGTAGTCCCTTGAGTCGTAAGGGGTGGTCGATCCGTCGTAACAGTTGTTATTGGTACCGCAGTGGGTCTGATGCAGGGGTGTATGATGAGACCCATGATGATGAGCGGCAGGAGGGCTGCATGGTAGAGTAGTGGGTCGCGCAGCATCGCCCATCGACGCGGGCAGGCAAGGACTTAGGTCCCGTGCCTGGTCCACTGCTCCGGGCCCCCCCGTGCTACCAGGCCCCCCTTGGCGCCCCACAGCCAAGCCGCTGCCACGCTCCTGCGAGCTGGGCGGCTGCTGGAACAAATCGATGTATCGACACTTTAGTTAGCGCATCAAATCGGCAATTGTGCCCGCGTTTATTTGTCTTGCTAGATAAAGCTCGGCGATACTAACGTGTTACAAGCGCAAACATTCTTTACAATGCATTCAGTGGACAATATATGTTAATCATGACTTGTCGTTTTTCTTGTAGTTTACAATAACTAAAAACTTGCTCCTATATGCGTGCCTGGTGTTTGCAATATTTGTTCTCGTAATTTTGTGGATAGGATGATTTATGTCGTCGTTATTACTGAAAATAACCTGCGGCTCCTTGTACATGTACATTCGAAGCGGGAATTTAACAAATAAACAAGGAAGAAGGTTGACAACTGATGAATACATCACTGGCAAAAATGCACGGTACATATCAGGAATGACAAAACGAGTAGAAAGAAAATCAATATTGAAAGAAATGTAAGAATCCTAGGAATGCATAGAGGAGGTTAAAAATACTGATAAAGTGAAAGGCGTAAAAATCAATAACCGGACGCCAATAGAGTGAAAGAGAAGAGAACGAGAAAAGTGAAGAGAGTAAGAAGGAGCGAGAGATCGTAAAAGATCAGAGAGGCGAAGGTGTAACCAGGAGAGATGCGAGACAACTAACAGGATAAAAATACCAGGACGACCAAGAAGAACGAAGAAGAGCAAACGAAAAGGACGAACCGGCTGCGGAAGAGAGAAGGACGAGGAACAGGTAAGAGACCAGGAGGAAAGGCAGAGGAGAGCATCGAGAAGACAGGGAGGACCGATCGGACAAAGCTCACAGGCAATAGAAGCGAAGTGACGACGGCTTGCAACCGCCGCTGTCAGTAGAGGGAAGAAACGTGCAGGGAGAAAGAGTGGCACACCAGCGACGGTAGCCGGTCGCCTCTGATGGATGTTGCAAGACACAGTGCGCGCGTTCGTGCGTCCGCGCGCATGTGCGCGACCCTATAAGGTGCCCGGAGGCGACCAATCCGAGCGAGCGCCGTGTTTCAACTGTCAACGCGCTCGCCGCTGCTGCATAGACATAAATTACAGCAAGAGCTGCCCTCTTGTCGTCTCTCCTTCCCCGCTCGCTCTCCTCTTTCTCGGTTATGCAGAATTACATCGACCGGTTTCAAAGGGATGGTGTCAATTGAATTGACGCACAGTCAGTCAATGGTATACCACTAGCTTGGACTACAAGTTCGGCAAAGTTTTCTCAAATTTTCGGGTAGAGTCAAAGATATTCTCGAAGTTGTCCAAAGTTACGAAGACTATCCACAAATCCCTACAAGGTGTTGAAGACTTTTTAGAGTTCTTTGATTTTAGGGTTTGGTTTTAGGGTTCCTTTAGATTTCACTGTAGCAAAGGTCGTTATATACTTGCAGTGCTAGATCTTACACACAAACGGTCTTCTACCGCAAATGGACAATTAAATTGGAGAAAATCAGCAACAGAGTAAGCAACGAAAGTATGTGGAGCGATCATATTGCCTAGTCGCCACGCGGAACACGCGTGATCGGAATCGTTAACCCTAATTTTACTTAATCGGTGACTTTGTCCCAGCGGGCTTTCGCGACGAGACGTAATCTTTACGTGCACGTTGTTGATCTTTATATAACGAATCGAATAGGCGAAGGTATCATAGGAATGCGCGTTCCTCAAGGTATCTCCCGTATTGTCCTGTCCCGTAACGAGCCACTATCGCGTGCGGTAATGGGCTTGTTAAATCGCGTGCGATGTCCCGAAGCATTTACGAATCGAAATTATTCGTAATTTTGCGGAAATACCAATACGGCTTATCTTGCCCAGAAAAAAATTTAACTGCTGGCATGACTCATCCTTAACCTATGACGTTTTCGGTCGACGGATAAGATAATGAAATACGTGTTTTACCACTACGTGCGACATTGCAAGTCATTGCAAACCAGTCTGTATGTGGGATTACAATTTTGAGGAAAAATAAATTTGGAAATGGTTTCTCAGAGCCGAAGTAATTGACCGCGATACATTTTTGCGAGGTTCGCGGCTCGTTGAAACAATACGAGACAAGACTGATGATGCGATTGGTCGTCAATAAATTTCTCACGAAAGCGGCGAACGAGCGCGATCGATCTTCAAGATCTTTATCCATCTTGAGAACGGTCCGGCAACGAGCTCTCGCAGATTGCAAAGAGACTTTCACCGGCGGCGAAGCTTGCTCAAGAGTGTGTGCCCGCCTTCCTTCTTTTTTCCTCCCTCCTCTCATTTTCGCGAAACCGCGGAGTAAATAACGAGCGCGGAATCCACGGTCATAAGATGCCGACACGGAAACGAGTAGAATGCCGCCAGAAATGTCGCTCGGCTGCCGGCAGAAACCGCGTCCCGTCTCTTACCTGAGCGAATTTGCTTGTTTCTTTTTTCTGTATGTATATTCGCAATGGCGTAAGTGCTATCTCGCGATTGCGATGCGATAACTGAAGGGAAAAAAGGTGCAGAAAGCGTCACTCTTATCGGCGCGAAAGTTTTACAACGAAAAAAATGTAGAAAATGAATACGCTCCGCCTTAGCGGCGTCAGTATCCGATTACCTGAGTACTCAAGTGGTACCCAAATACTTCGAATATTTCTCGGTACTCAGGAATTTTACGAATTACTTGGACGCAACATTTTGTGCGAGTACTCAGTCGGTTATTTCGAACAGCACCTGAGTACCAGGATAATACCTGCGAATTCGAATATAAAGATTATCTTGTTTATGCCAACATCATTATTCAACATACAGATGCAATAATGTAAATTTAGTACGTAAAGAATATCATTTGATGATTTAACTTCTTTTTTATAAAAAGGAAGATATATTATCTTGTACTCGCACATACACACACACACACACACACACAATCAGAAGGACGCGTGCGTGCATTATTATTTATTTGTACTATTTATTAACATGTAAATTTATTTTAACTTGATGTTGTTTCATATTTATGAGTGCATCTCATCTCATACATATTCCAATGATATGTGTGATAATAAATTGCGTAGTTCGTTTTAGTTCGTCCAAGTATCTTAACTGTTAGTATAATTCCTTTCCTTTGACTGAAAATACGTCCGACGGTTCTCAGATACCGAGAAATAAAGACAACAATGTTAACGAACATTATGCGGCGAAAGGCTTGAAAAATGGATCTGTCGTGCCCGCCGTGAACAATAATTTGTTTGAAAATGCGAGGCCGAACGCAATCCGACCACGGAAAAGCATGCACGATAACCTTACGTCACGACCCACCGAGATACAGCGTTATCGCAGTAAATTGTAACTCGGTTCTCTTTTTCAACGAGCTCAGCTCGAAGAAGAAGTCCGGCTGACTACGACTGAGTCAGCGAAATTTCTTTTAGCATCTACCACGACGAGAGTGTGTAAAAAATTATCGGGATAGCTTGTCCTCGATATCAACGAGGCGTACTGACGTCGCCGTTGTCATCGGCATCGATGGACTTCTCCAACTTTAACGCGAGCTTCCATGTATAATATGCTGAAGTAACATCTTTCGACGCGTCTACTCCTGAGTGTCTACGCACGTAGAAACGCGTCTCTCTGAAAAGCGTCCTGTTGTTTAACTTTCACAAAAAGAGGACAGTGTATATACTCGCGTCTCCTTTCCCTGCCCCGCTCCTCTCGCGAGAGATCTACCTTAAAAAGGTGTAAGAGAAGCGAAAACAAGTGGCACTAGGCCTCTCCTCGGTAGGCCTTCCTCGCAAAAACCGGTAACCATCCTCGGGGAAAGTGTTAAAACTGGAAGTGCATGACGTCTTTCTGTTTGGTAGCCCTCGATGGTATGGCTCACACACTCGAAGAGTGGCACGTGTGCTGGTGGCGCGCGTATCAGCTTCCCTTGCTCGGCCAACGATAGCGATAACAATAAACAGCCTCGTCCGTCGCGGCGGCCGCGGTTTCTCTCTCTCTCTCTCTCTCTCTCTCTCTCTCTCTCTCTCTCTCTCTCTCTCTCTCTCTCTCTCTCTCTCTCCCTCTCCCCCTCTCTGCTTCTCTCTCTTTTCTTTCTCTCGAAATGCGTGGGCGACGTTTAACACCACGGAGAGCCGATAAACTGCCTGGCTATCTGCACTTCTCCGCGTTCCCGTTGCGGGCTACCAATCGACTAGGCCAGAGAGAGCGTCGCGCGGCCAAAAATATTGGATAGCGCGCTACTGTGCTGTCAGATGTACAGGGTGTCGCCGTATATGATCTGTCCTTCGCCAAGAGATACCGGATTAAACTATTACGAGCTGATCGACGAGTATATCTTCCATAGCTACACTAGTGCAGTTTTCACAGCGCCAGAGAGATGTACATTGTCGGCACAAACAGAACATACCCGAATACCTGGGTACTGCAACTCGATGCTTAAATTCACTGATACTTCCCTCGAGATCCTCGAGTACTGCCATGAATATTCGACTACCGCCGGGAATACTCTGGCGCTGTTTGAGACCGGATACACGAAGACAAAAATAACGAGCAATATCCATCTCTCGTCTGTTATCGATTCTCATGGCGACTGATTCTGTTCAGTCTTTTCGTGAGACGCGCTAATCACAGTACTTGAGTATTTGGGTCATGTTAACGATACGACACGAGTACCGGACGAACTCGAGTATTCTCGGATATCGGTACCATCGGTGCAAATTTATCGTAAAACAAAATTCCTCGTTAGTTTGTGACATTCCCTCAGGGATTTTCCTCACGTTATACGTATATATTATTCGTTAATCCAATGAAATATCTCCTCGTACTTATATCGAATGACATTGGTGGATAATAATACACCAGCCACTATCTGACGAATTAAATAATAGCGGTAGTATTGCTAATAGTTTCTGCGCAATTTAACGCTGTGGGAGTCCGTCCAATTTATTTCGGCGATTTTCGCCGAATATATTAGCGTCGTATCGCAGGTGCCTCCTTTGATACTATTTCTTAAGTCAAAGTGAGAGAGCGTTGTCTCTTCAGGACAGCGATGTCTGAAC